TTGGTAATCACTTTTATTAACATCTGCTTCAGAAGCTCATAGTAAAGTCCGCCACTGGAAACCAAATTTTATATGTGTGAATGTAATAGGATAATAGTAACCTTTGAGTGACAACATATATAACCACAATTATTAGCATATTACATGCAACAGTAAAAAACATAATGATGGACAAAACACCACATCTGGCATTTGATCAGTATAGCTAAAAGATCATAACCTTGATATTTCAAACTGAGCTGAACAGATGCCAATGAGTCAAATTCCACCTGAATTCATATAACAATTGGTCATTTAATGAGCAATTCTTGGCATGCACACTTAAGGGATATTTTCCTTTCCTTTTCATTTTTTTGGATTAAAACAAATTTGTCAGGGAAGTCTTCTTCTTTTGAAAATATTCTAGTTCAGAGAGCAGAGTGTAGTTTTATTCAAATTCCACTCCATAATGTTTATTTAACTTCAGACTTAGTTTCAGGGCCAGTGACTGAGGGCACTGTGAATGTTTTACCCATTGAAGGTGTTCATTTATCTGTGAGGCAATGACCTAGCTGGAGATAAGGTTGTAGTTGATCCAGTTGTGAATGACAATCCTTGTTTAGATCAAAAGGATGATCCTATTGAAAAAACTATCTGATTTATATATGGCTTGTGCAGATACTAGAGCTGTGGCTCTTGTGAATGAAATTGATCAAGATAATATTCCTTTGACTGACACATATATCGGTTAAGCTTCTGATGTAGTCAAGTTTGCTTCTGTTAATGATCAATCAAGAAGAATTAATCACTGTGATGCTCTTTTAACCACTCATTCTCGTATGTCTAATCAGGGTAACACACAAAAATCACCTGTCATCGAACAGTAATAAGATCCTGAAATCTGTTTATTGCAGTCTAGGACTATTAGCGAAGCTGACTCTGTAGTGGTACTAACTTGGTGTGTTTTTACAAATGGTGCCCTTCTGAGAAAATGGAGTTCACCAGAGATACCCGCTGCAGAAAAATGGTCATCATACTATCCAGTTGTGGTACCTAAGTCATATAGACAGGAAATTATAAGTTTAGCCCATAAAACTCCCTTTGCTGGACACCTGGGACTCAATAAAACCTACCACAAGATTTTGCATCATTTGAACTGGCCAAAAATGAGTGATGATTCTAACTACTGTAGATATTGTCAAACTTGTCAAATGGTAGGAAAACATAACTAAAAGATACCTAAAGCTAATTTACAATTTCTACGTTTAATGAGCCATTTATTAGAATAATGGTAGAATGTAAGTCCTTTACCCAAGATCCAGTCTGGCAATCAATAATTGTTGAACAATTGGCCTTTCTAAATCCATCCAATATTATCAGGGTTCCAATTATCTGTCAGGGTTCTTCTGATAAGCTATGTTTGAATTAGGTATTCAATAGTTCAAGTCATATGCATCGCACCCTGAAAGCCAGGAGGTGTTAGAAAAATCTTATCAAACTTTATACAATATGATAAAGTCATATTGCTTTGATCCTGAAAAATATTGGAACAAAAGTGTTCACTTACTATTGTTTGCCATTAATTCAGCTAGTCTTCAAAATTCTCAAATATTACAAAATCTGGACAATAAACTCTCACATCTACAAACAGAAGAAAGGAATTGAGTTAAGGCAGTTATTATGCGAATATGAGCACCAGTTCCCAGATGTTCCAACTTGAACAAACAAAGCTTACCATGATGCTGAAATTGTCGATTTTAAACATGTACAGCAACATTCGTCAAGGTGAATCCTCTTAAGAATTAATATTTGAAGAAGGAAGTTGTGTATTTATTTCAGAATTACTTTATTGCACCATGCAAAGATAAGTGGAATTCACCATCATTTTGTGTTTTTCTGAAACCAGATAATTCTTTCTGAATTTGCACAGGCTACAGAAAAGTGAACAGAGTCACCAAAACAGACTCACTTCGAACAGCAAGAATATATGGCTGGATTGACTGGATTGGAAGTGCAAACCATTTCACCTAATTTTGACATTATAAAAAGGATTCTGTCAGATTCCAAAGACAGATAAAGCATTAAAAATCTCAGCTTTTCCACCTCCACATGTACTCTTTCAATAAAAAGTGAAGCCGTTTGGTATGAATAATTATCCCTCTATATTCCAGCATTGAATGAATATGGTAACAACTAGAATAGATAGATATGTTGCATACATTGATGACATCCTTACTAACAGAGATTCTTAGAAGGATCACATAGAAACTATCTAAAAATTCTTTGTCACTTAAGTGATGTAAATTTGACAGTTAATCTAAGTAAAAGTGAACTTTGCGTGTATCAAAGTTATAGAACATATTGTACAACATGGTCAAGATAAGCGCAGCAGAAGCTCAGGTTAAAGCCGTTTCTCAATTATCGGTGCCAACCAGTAGAAAGCAACTGATGCGATTTTTGGGTATGGCTGGATATTATCAGAAATATTTGCTCAAATTTTCCATAACTGCTGAACCCCTGACTACTTTCATAAGTAAAAAGTCCAAGTTTTATTGGTCTCACAAAAGCTAGGAGGCATTTGATAATTAAAGGCCATAGTTAAGAGTGAACCAGTTCTTTCAGCTCCAGACTGATATCAACCATTTAAAACGACTAATGATGTAATTAATGTTGAAGTTGGTGACATGTTAAATTCAAGATGATAAAAAGAAAAACAGCATTGATCATCCAGTGTGCTGTTTCTCAAAAAGATAAATAGGTACCAGAAAAATTACTCCACTATCAAAGTACAGTGGCAATAAAAGTTGTATATAAAAAGACAGTTAAGCATTCATTTTCATTCTGAGTTTTGGAGTTATCCACATTTATTATGTTCCTTTTTGTAAGTCTGGCTCTGCAGACATATTTTACCTTTTTGTTGTATTTACCTTCGACTTCAATAAATGCTTCAGCGTCAAAGAAATATCTACTTGTATCCTGAACCTGTAGTTCGATTCGTGCACGCAGATTTGGCTGTCGTGCGTTGTAAGAATAATACTGATAATCACGCACAGACTGATCTTTGAGAACAGGTGCATCATGTCAAATGCGGGATGACTTGTACGCTTAAACATCTTAATTATTATCATCCTGCTATCAGACTAGCGCTTATATTTTTTCTTTTTCCGACATTGGGACATCAACCAACTCCGCTAGTTTTTGATTAGTGGCTTGATCTATTATTTTACTTACACTTGCGGGCATCACTTCAGTGCTAGGTAAATTCACAGGTTGAAGTCGGACGGGTTGTAGTCTACGTATTAACCGCGTTAGTCTATCTATAATTGCTGAGAATGCTTTGCTAGCATTATTACCAGCAGCGCCTATACCATTTTCACTAACAAAATCAATAGCTTTCATTCCTAGCAGCTTTGCAATCGTTATTGCTTTTGGGGCTTTTCTTCTAAACAGACCCTGAATAACATCGCCTAGTCCATCTCCGTACATTGTTCTGTATACTAATAAAAGTTTGAATTTAAAAAAAGAGAAAAAGATTGTTCTGTATACCGGTAATCGAGAGTTTATTACCCTGACCATGGAAGGTCTACGTTGAGCACCATGCACGATCATTTTATTATTAATTGACTTTATCAATAATTGTATCTAATCACTGTGGTAGACATAGGCGATTTCATTAATGAGGGATCGATGCACATCAATGTCCATAATACCGTCACTAAATAATCCTTTGCAAATATCAGCTGCTTCATTAATGATTTTTGATGAATTATTACCAGCTCGTTTTTCTCTGATGAGAATTTATAGTCGATCAACGTCAGCAAGAACATTATTGGGACAAGTAATAAGACCACTCCCTAGGTCACTTCCAGTTGCACCAGGAGCGTCTTAAAATACTTCTTCTTCCTCTTCACATGGTTTCGGTGGTGCTTTTTTTTAACTTGATTTTGATGGTGTTTTTGGTGATACTGGATAATCACGAAGTGGTTGCTCAAATGATTTCGGTGATTTTTGTCGTTGTTCTCGTAGTTGTTCTCGTCGTTGTTCTCGCTGTCGTTGTAGCTCTTGTTGTTGTAGTAGTGGTTATAGTCGTGGTAGTGGACTCTCTGGTGATGGTAATTTAAGTTCTGGTGATGATGGATCAAACTGTGATGAATCGTTTACTTTGTTCAACCTCTTCTATATTTTTATTTACATCTTGACCAAATCTGTTATAATATCTATATTCTTCATTAGATCTGATTTCTGGAATACCAGTAGCGATGAGATATACATCCTTGATCCAATTGGAAGAGCTTAGAGATTTGACATGTTCTGGTTTTACATATTTTTTTTCTTTCATAATATCCAAATGAGGCAATATCAAATAATTGCTTTGGGTCCCTGATAGCAGCAATACCTTCAGGCGTAAATTTATATATTATCTTAGTTCTGGTCCTTGATGGTTGAGGAGGTTGAACGAGTGGTAGTTGTGGTGCTTGTGCAATATCGGCAGGCAATGTTGCAAGAGCTTGTTTTGTTGCTTCGGTTGCCGTAACAATTTTTCTTCGTTGGTTCGACAATCGGTTTAAATAATTGTTTTGTATCCACCTCAAATTCAGCTATATATTTCTGACACAATTGTAGTTGTTTCTTAACAGAATCACGAACAGGTATATATTTTTTAATTGCCTCTATTCGCTCTCGAGCTAATTTAGCTGAGTGTGGTTCTCCAATACACATTACGGATAATATTTATACTGGCTGTTTAATATATGGCAGAAGAGAGGCTGAACGACATACGCGTAGTGACCAGATTGTGAATAAATCGAGGAAAAATTTGGTCAAATAGAAAAATTTTCATTGTTAAGGCAAAAACTTTTTTACAGCCTTTGTAGGAACCCTTAATTTTCAAAATAAGGCCTCTAGAAAGTTTTCTATTCAGCCTCTCTGCCATGTCAAATTATCCTGACACCAGGCCGACAAGTCATATCACAACCCTCTCAATGCCGAGCGCAACTGGAGGCAGCAGTATCAGTCTTTTGTGTGACTCGGCTGGGGTTTGAACCCGCGACCTCTTGCATCTGAGGTTGACGTTCTAACCACTAAGCCATAAGAGCTGTTACTCTTATATCTCAGCTTTGATAAATATTTCACTCAGTCTGTAAAATTGACTCAGGCTTGCAACTTATAAGTACGTTCAAATAGCAAGTGTAATTAAAACTTTTTCATATAGAATATGATGTTCCAGCATATTTGGCCACAATCTTAAATACAAAATCAAATTTTCAGTCGTTGGCTCTTTTATATAACCTTGGTTGCATTGATCTTTAAAGAAAACATCTTAAAACATAAAATAAATGTATTTCATTGTTTGAGACGGTCTTCGTGTCACCAAATACATCACAAGTGTAAAGCCCTCTAGCTACATACGAGGATAAATAATACATTCTAAAATTTGTTGCCAGTGAATCATGATACTTTTAAAGTACAAGATCATCTAACGTACATTCGATGTCCTTTTTCTAATGTATTATTATTATTATTATTATTATTATTATTATTATTATTATTATTATTATTATTATTATTATTATTATTATTATTATTAAAGATGAATTACTTATTCCTATGGCACTACATTTACTTCCCATCTTGCGCGATTTAAGGCGTGCATTCCTACACAGATAATAGGTCTCGCTTCTGTTATTCGACACAAAATCTTGGGACTAAATTTAGTTGTGGTTGATCTTGTTCTACGCTTCACCGATCTGCGCTGTGTATAGTAACCTTGGATTTGAAGTCACGTGACTTCGTCCTACGCTTGACTTATCTCTACAATGTCAACAACGAGGCACGTTGTAGACACGTAAACACGACGTATCTTTAACATTTTAGAGTTTGAGCCGTCGACGGTTTTTCAAGGTAAGCACTTGTCTCTGTTGGTAAATTTATGCGTCACAAATACCAAAAGTTCCATCATTGGCTAATCTAACGTAGTCGACACATCAAAAGAATGAATTCATGATGAATACTGTACACCACAGGAGTCTGTCATTTTATCACTAGGGTATGGCGAAATCTATGAGAGCACGAAATCACCTTATGCATACTATAAATATACAGTCGAAAAGGGGTGGGGGGGGGCTAGAAACGTGTGAAATCCATTTGTTACTTATCGGACGCTCTATCAACTGAACCACAGTGGCTTACACACACACACACACACACACACACACACACACACACACACACACACACACACACACATATATACACACACATGCGCGCGCGCTCGTGGAAGATGAGAAAGATGAGGCAAGTGATAGACAATGCTATCATGTTTCAATGTAGTGTTAAGTTTTACGGATGTATGCTAAAACATATCTGGAGGAAAAATCAGGGGAGATGGGAACCCAGTGTTCCTCCTACCCAACTTACCCATATCTGAGAGAGAGAGAGAGAGAGAGAGAGAGAGAGAGAGAGAGAGAGAGAGAGAGAGAGAGAGAGAGAGAGAGAGAGAGAGAGAGAGAGAGAGAGAGAGAGAGAGAGAGACTCTTCGTGATGCATTCATTATTCTGAGCAAATTCAGTTAAATAATTTTGCATTAATATTTTTTGGGTAATGAAGGATAACAGACTCTCTGCCGTGGTCTGTATAAGTACTTCATCATAACGCTTATTTACTGCAAGGTATAATCTGGAAGAATCGACTTCTTGGAGTCTTCTATATTGACTTTGTGACTATAATGCTGAAAAAAAAAGGTTGATTCGCAGGATTAGATTTACGTGATAGTCTTCCAAAAGCTATGCGTTGGTACGTTACTGTTTGCTTAATGTTAAGCCTTTTCAATCTTCGTGCGATTCTGAGGCGATACAAGAGGCTATAAAAGACGCATAAGCCTTAAGCCTTACGTCTTATAAATAAAGTACTCCGAAATATGACACATTATCTCCTAATATGCACCACCCCTCCACTCGAATCGACTGGATTCGAGTCGATCCAGTCGATTCGAATGTGTTCCTAATCCTGGTTGAAACCAATTCGTTTGCTTAAGAGGGCCATAATATAATTACCAATGTTTATAGAAACGTTATACCGCTATGGGGACTGTTTTGTTTGCCTTTAAGAAATGTTAGCAGTTGCTTAGTCTGAGTTGATTTGGATATTTGGGTTGACAGGTGCTTCTATTATTGTATAGGTATCATACCGTGTACAAATATTTGCTGGGGCAAAACATCCTATCTGAAATACAGGGACACGCAAGGAACACTGTTGTGATTCTGACATAATCAATCACCCTGATAAACTTTATTATGAAAAATATCTCCCTAAAGATTTTTCTAAACATAAAGGAACTGTTTAAGTCAGGCTAACATTACGAAATCGCATAAGTCAAGACAGCCAAAACTTGGTTGATCAAGTAAAAATACTCGAATTCTTACAAATATTTGTAAACATGGTACTCTTTGGTTCGATATAATGTAGTTTCTGTGCTACTCAGTCGATTTTATCAGAGAAAATCAAATTTAAATAGTATTTCAGGACACGAGTTGCACAATAAGTAATTTCTTAAGAATACTCAAAGTTCAAACTTAACTCTTATGAGACAAGTTTATTGCTGCCAGAGTTGATTGTCATATGCATACAAATAAAGATATACTAATCTTGCAGTTAATAGAATACATGTATCAAAAAATATTCAGATCATTATAGTTAGAAAGCACACTAACTTTGAAATTTGGCTTTTCTGCATTATAGTTATTTTCATAAACTACGCAACTGACCCATTTAATAATCAGTGTATATTTACCGAATGCGGCGAATACTTGTCTGTAAACAGTGGATTTTTATATTTGCAGAAGAACCCATGGAGTTCAGCGAAGCAAATTTCTCATTCAACGTGGACCTTTTGGAGGCAACTATACTTCATTTGGACTACCTCAAGCAGGTGGATGCCATTCCACTTTTGAATAACGCTAACGTTCTGAACAGGGCTGTTTATAGATACGAATACTACTGGCTCCCTCTAGCGGCTGAGCATCGGGATGAGGTGCTTACAGCCCCTTTAGATATAGCCTGGGTTTGGCACTGCCACATGCTTTGTCCCACGTCCTATGTCAAAGATTGTATGGATATTGTCGGTGTTGTAATTGACCACAGATTCGTCCACGATGAAACAAGAGCCCTCCAAAGGTCACAAGATCTTTGGCATAAAAAGTACCGATATGTAAATGAACCATTTGAAATCGATCTGAGTGCTGACAGTACTGATGAAAGGAAGTACAACAAAATATCTCGAATATCATACGACGTAAAGAAAGCGGCCTCAAGACAAGCAATGTTCTACTATTCTGTCTCGTTACCTCACTACCGGGATTCAAAATTTTTAAGTAACAGTCTTGCACGATACAAGAAATTTTTGTATTTGAGACAGCAAAACCCAGAACAGTTTCTGGTTCCTTGTTATGATATCGATCTCTTATGGCATACACATCAGCTCTACCCATTGGCTTACAAGAATGACACAGAGGCATTGTTTGGCCAATTGTTCAACCATGATGACACTGCTAATGACCGAACTCCTGATTCCAAACGTACGTCAGCACAATTTGCCACTACAGAACTTTGGAAAAAATCTTTTAACGAAAATTTCGCAATATTTGGTGTTATGTATCGTGGAGATTCGTCGAGAGGAAGGCTTTACGAACTCGAGTCATCAGATGTATATACTATGTCTATTAAGAAGACTTCTATTCAACTGAACGAATGTGTTTTGAACAAATCACCAGAACGTTACAAGCAGTTTAAGTTGAACATATACTGCAGCAGAGGAAAAATGAGCGGGTCTGAAGTTATGCACCGAGCCAGAAATGATCCGCTTGCAATAATTTTGAAAAAAAGAAATGGAACATCGACAGGAGGCCAGATCGTATGGAGACAACATGATTTGAAGCGGCTTGATATCAGTACTCGAAATATACACAGTCTTCTGGTATCTCTTTCTGAAAAGTCTGGTGGTACATGTTGCGGCGGAGTTGAGCTCGATGTAGGCGGTGTTGGTATTTACAATCTTCTTCCTCTAGTGGATAGACCTTGTACATCATCTACCATTTCATTTGAGACAAAGTTTGACCTAGCTCATGAGCTGAACGTGTCCCTTAAAGGCACAATAGCACCACCGATAAGTGGAGCGGCAATCTTCTCTCTTGAATCAGGTTTCTACATGGAAGCCGTTATTCCTGAGCATCTAGAGCAGTTATGGGGCCCTATCAAATTGGCACACCTACCAGCTGGTATCGACAATAGGTGTCAGGTAGCTGATCATAGGTAAATGACTTTTATAGAATTTTCTCTTTTTTTGTCATACATATTGTGTTCTTTGTCTTTTGGCATATATTTTGCAACGAATACACAGCATTCCTTACCTGTTTGTGATCCTCTTTTCGTGGTATACTTTGGTCGGGATTTTCGTTTTGTATTATTTCCCATTAGCACGAAAAATTGTATCAGACCTTGTATGTAAGTGCTTCATGTGACATTTTCATCTCCGAAAATTACGTTTTTTAAAATTAAAAGTTCATGGTTTCTCGATAAACTTGTTAGATGGTTGCAACATTGATCAATGTCGATACAACGCATTTGGGATTCACAAAGTGGACAGAAAAAAAAATCAAATCTGAGCCAGCACTTTTATTGATATTTCACAGTAACAAGATTAGGGGAAGATCCTAATAATTAGTTGTTTTACATGTGTCAGTATAATTAATTCATATTCATTGTCCAACACAATTATTCAATGAAGTTTTCTTTCAAAAATGATTATCAAATATACAAATGATGACAACTAACTAGAGTTCAGACGAATTCAACTCAGATCTCAGAATGTAATACACGTAAAATGGCTGAATATAAAATCTACTGGTAATACCGTTCGATTATAGTTATAATCATACGTTACTACTAGTTGTAACTTCGTACATATCTTTTTTTACTTCAAATGTTGTCTACTTTTTGTATTAGACTTAAAAATTATTTGGCAGTTACTGCGTGTATGCATATATGTACTGTATGTATGCGTGTATTAAAAAAATTTACTGACTCGTGATATAGCAACTCG